AAGGACTAATCTGTCTAACCATCAAAAGGTGTGGGCCTCTTGTAATATTACTGAAATGATGTCATTTTAGTATAACTCTTCAGTTAAGCTGATCGAGCTACTCACTCTCTTCACTCTCTCTTACTTTACTCTCTTGTAGCTTCAATGTATAAAAGAGATTTGTGTAAAACTCTTATCAATTAATGAAAATACAAGAATCGATTCTTAGCATTTTTTGACTTTTCTCTCTGATCTTTACATAACATTCTACATAAGAGAAGAGTCATCTTTCAGAATAATCCATTGAATTTTTTTTCTTAATGCAAAGTTTAGACCACAGAAAAAACATGATCGAACAATGTAGGAATACATGATTAGATGTTTTTCTACTTTTTTCACACATAACATACCAAGAAGAAAAGGGATTCATTTTTAGAACTCAATTCCAATAGCGTTTGCCTAGCTAGTAGTCTCCCATGAGCCAAAGTTCAAGTAATTTGGAGAGTAGTTTTGCCTTCAATATCATTGATTTTTAAATTGTTTGAGTTCCTTGTGTGGACTATGAGTCATAAAAATAGATATATGACACAAGATTTTTTTGACAGCTTAAGTGAAATAAGATAATCAAGTAGTATTCAAAGAAATGAGAAGATAATATGTCACAGGGTTTTATGTAATAATATATAATAGATTGGGGCATTGAAAATTTCATGTATTTTAGAGAAATGGGTCTTGGTTAGAGCATGTAAAAATTCACTTCATTATTGGCCCAAGTCCAATTTTAGAATGACTACTCAATTAATGGGCAATAGCTTTTATGTTCACTAATATTTAATAGTGATGGCTATACCATTCTTTTTCATAAGCATAAAGTTATACCAACATTTTCCATTGTTATAAATGAGATAAATAATTGTTGAAAAGGTATAGGTGGTTTCTTTTTTATACTTGACATCAAAGATATTCTTTATATAATATGTGTGTTTTTCAAAATTATTTGTCTTCCAAATATACTTGATAATAAGAGAATGTGAAATTTCACACGGATTAAGTACATTTTAGCAGGGGCGGATCTAGCATCATTGAGGGTCAGATTTGAAAAAAAATTGTAAATATTTATAATTAATTATTTTTATATCAAAAAAGTATAAATATATATGGCCCATAACCAAAGTAATTGTTATAATAGGTTAATGTCAGGCCCACAAATCATAAATATTGCGGCTATGCTGTAATGACTTCTTTCTACTATCATATTCATACAATATATTAATAAAAAGACAAGCATACTTATCAAAATAGTTGGGCCCAAAAATTTTCTTTACTTAATATATACATTCTTTACATAGTACAGTATCATTTGTACAAAAAGACTCTCAAAACAGTGGACAGTGTAGCCAAGTCTCCCCGCTTGCCGACGTCCATCTGACCACGTCCTCACCTATGTCCTACAAAAACATAGAAACCAACGGGGTGAGCACAAAGATGCTCAGTAAGTAAATCCTCTATTCCACTATCCCCGTGTATCACTCTTCAATTCTTTCCTTACTCTTATCACTTTCTCTTATTCAATCTCTCTTGCTCTGTCTCTGTTTCTACTGTTCCTTTCTTTCTTTCGATTCTTTCTTTCTCTCTATTCTCATCACCCATGAGGGATATCATGATAACATGTACGGATGAGATGCATATGCACTAATGCAAGGCAATGCATTTTCTCTCTTTTCTTTTCTTTCTCATTCTTATTCTTATTCTTATTCTTTCTTATTCTTATTCTTTGCCGATCGATCTTGATTGATGCATGGATTCGGAACCCTTGGCCATGTGAGTGTATTCTCTCTCGTGTATAGCTCTCATCCGCATGTATCCTCACGGCTATACAAATTCTTTTTCTCATTCTCATTTCGCTCTCTCAAGGCGGAGACCACTCTCTCACGGCAGTTTACATGCGGGTAATTTCTACACTCACGGGCTCCCCATCGCACAACCTATTATCTTTTCTCTTCTTTAGCACTTTTATTCATTTATTCTCTAGTGCTGACTCTTTCTTTCTCTTTATTCTAAGAGAATTAGTTCTTTTCTTTATCTTTATTCTTAGAATGTTTCTTTCTCATTACTCATATTTCTTTCTTTGATGATTAAACATATAAACATATGCATATGGATGGCTCATGCCTAGAATCTTTCTTATATGCACTCATGAAATGCAAATATGCTATGTTGCATAAAGTAAGGTTCTCTACTTCTGCTCATGCTTCTCTTAGGCATTTCATCAAACAATATGTGTGCATACAAAACCCTACTCTAACTATAGTTCTACTTCTTTCTTAACCATCCAAAATTGGAGTTCAACTCCTTCAAATCATCACACATCCTACAAAGAAAACACACTTCAAATATTCCTCTCAAATTCTTCAAATTCTATCCATACTTCTACCAAATTTTATCAACACAATCCACCCTTCTCATGGTGGAAATCTCTCAATAAATCAACATTGAACTCATTCATAAATCCATCAACTCATTTCAAACATAAAAACTCAAGCATTAATCACTCTATACATCATTCAATCATGCAAATCACAACTTAGGTGGATTTACTTACCTTATACTCAAGTAGAATCCACTTAAGCTCTCTACTCTTGATGGCTTGATGCTTTCTCTTAAACCTTAAACACCAACTTAGTAAGGATCCTACTCTTACACTAATAAAAATTCACATCTAGAGTAAGGATTCTTACCTTTAAGTGCTTAGGATCAACTTGTATCAACTTCTAGTCAAAAGCTCTCCAAAAATCGTTGGAAAATTGAATGAAAGCTTGTGAGAATTGAAGGATGGTGGTGTCCTATGGTAGGTGGGATTTTTTGGTGTTCTCTTTCCTTTCTTCTTGGTGTTTATCTCCCTTTGTGGTTTTAGATAAACCCCTAGAGCGGATGGCTGTTTGTAGGCTTGTTTCTTTTGTTTCCTATTTTTGGGGCATGTCCCAAAACAGGCTAGTCGCCTTTTATTAGGCCTTTGTACATTCTTCTCTTTTTTTAATATGATTACTTACTTATCAAAAAAAAAAAAAANAGTTTTATTTTAAGATTGAATCTTGTTTAATTTTTTTTGAGGTTTTTTATTCTGATGAAAAAAGACATGAATCTTATGATTTTGTTTTGTGTTTGTTTGATTCTGTAATTGGTTGAAAACATTATTATCAATTTGACTTTAGATATAACAAATACATTTATATAATTAAAGGGCAACTTGATTAACACTAATCATTAATATATTAATAATGGTATTTTTATTATTTTATAATGTAATTAGTTGGCTAAGTATGTTATAATAATAGTTAAATTAAATCTAGGTGATCTATGCCAATAATTTAAATGTCAGGAAATTGATTAGCAAATTATATAAGTTTTTAAATTCACTAAAATGATTTTAAATATAAGAAAATTAACACAATAAAATGATTAATTAATTACTAAAATAATCTTTTAATTAAATCTAATTGTTACATCTAAAAACGTGATAACTCAGTCTTTGTAATTTTATTAATTAAAGTTTCATCAGTCTTTCTTTATATGTATCTTACCATCTATTTTTACTTGATAGCTATGATATCCAATTATTTCAAGAGATTAAAGAAAATTCTAGCAAAAATTGTGTTTCTTTATGAATTGGATGTTATTTTCAACTCATTTGCTCAAGGTTTTGTTTAAGGTTTAGTGGTTTTTTTTTAAGTTTTCACTAGTTGTTTGGCAAACAATGGCGAAGCCGTGGAGGACCCCTTGAGCAAAAATCCTAGCTCCACCACTGCATTTTAGTCTCTTTAATTTTTGTTTAGTAAAGTCAAGGACACATTAATTTTGAGAGAACTATTAATTGAAAATAATGATCAAACTAATTAAAATCTTATGATAATATATGCACTTAATTAACCAAATGCATGAATTAACTTAAATAAATTATAATAATCCAATAGATATATTTCTATATTTGTTTTTGGTAAGTGTATAGTGTTAAAATAATTACAATGCATATGTCGTTTGTATAAATATTTTCAAAACTCTTATCAAATTATCCAAGAAAAAGTTGATAGTATATAAATATTTCCAAACCTAACACATACATATCACATCACATGTGGACACTCGTTCAATGATGTTTCATGATATACACGTTTATTTTTTCGTTCATCTCCCAACTAATCACCATTGTGATCGATTGCTTTTGAATATATAAAAGATGATAATATTTTTCTTCATCGTACATCCGAAACAATAATTTCCCCAACTAATTTAATCTAATGTTATTTTTCTTCCTTGTACATTTCAAACATTATTTTCTCAACTATTTATGAATTATTTCTCGTTCATATCATAGCCTTCCATGACCATATTATAAATATGGCTATCATTGAAATTTTAAAAGCTAATAAAACTCTACAGCACTCAGAATTTGATAGGAGGTTGAAGGTCCTTGGCTGGAATCCTAGCAAATGATATTGTCATGTATTAATTTAATTAGGGTATTATAGGGTTGAAGTCTTAAAGATTGGAGAGGAGTATTTGGCTATTCTATCATAAATAGACTTCTCAGTGTGAAACTTAGAAGGAAATTGGAATTTCGGAAGAAATTTGAGAGAGAATACTCTGTTATTGCTTAATTGGTAAAGTACAAAATGATTGAGCTTACTTTTATATGAAGAAGTGAGTGAACGAGAGAGAGAAGAATAGTAAATAGAAAGTAAAGAGAGAAATGACATTGTTTCCTCCTTTTTACACTTTTGTCCTTAAAATGAAAAGTCAACCTTGATAGAATTTTAGGTGGGTCTGACTCTTCACCTAATAAGACCTTGTTGAATGGGAGGATTACCCCTTCTTATAAACCAGTAGGTTTAAGTGTGCCTAGTCGGTGTAGGACTCCAACACTCTCCCTCACGGTCAAGCCCATAAATTAGGTCATGCATATTATTAGTGATAATACTAGTAATTATTTATTAATTAATTATAACTTTGTGGAGTCTGATTACTCAAACAACAGTCCTGGAAGGCAATGGAACCTGCCTACGGTATTCAGCAAGAGCCCACAGTGGGTGTATGTTCCTATAGGCTCCGTAATGTTGCATGCAATTCTTATTAAATACTCCAGTAATTTCCTGCATTATAAATAAATTAATTAATCAAAACATTTGGAAATGAAAGTTTATCTGAACGTTATATATATCATCCTTAATTTGGTTTAACGAGTATTGTACCTGTTGGGGAAAGTCACCATCTTCTAGTTGAGAATTGATTAACACCTTAGCTGCACGATGGAGAGGAGTTGGGTCTCTTTCTGCCTGTATGATAATCCATGAGATATAATAAGTGGTATATAAAAATGTATGTATAAATATAATTAATTACATGTTTTATGAAAACTGACCTGTCCGGCATGAATTAGACCCATCATAGCCCATGCAGTGTGAACCAAATTTGATCTGTTTCCTTCAAGAGGTATGTATTTCTACATCACCAAGAGCAACGGATACATACGATTAGTTGAATGGTAGTTGGAGTTGTAATACACATTAAGAAATCAAATACAAATTAATACGTAATTCATGAAGTATAAAAAAGTGTAACCTTTTCTGGACAAGAACGATAGCTCTCTCCCCAACCACCATCGTCTCTCTGTGATTTAAGAAGAAAATCAACACCTTTACGCATAGCTGGACAATTGTTGTAAGTCTTGCCTGCTTCTGCTAATCCTCCAAGTGCAAACCATGTACCATATGTGAAGCAAACTCCCCAACATCCATACCTATATATATGTATTCATAATATATCATGCATATATAATATGTACTTGCAATTAATGTATAATTAAAACAATTGTACCATGAACCATCAGGCAATTGTACTTTTTCCAAATAGCGAACTGCATTTGCAATAAAATGTTCAATCTCTTTCTTCCTATGCCCTGGATATAACTTCTTAAACAAAACTAATCCCTTGATAACCGATGACGTGCACTCAACATACTCATGCTCGATCATTGTGTCCTCAAAAAAATCCGTGGGATTCAGCAGCTAAACAAAGTTACATAAGAAACGTCACTACTACTCATTAGTATAATTAAAAACAAATTCAAAAGATCAAGCCGAATACTCTAATATAATTAAAAATAACAATATATATGTACACAAAACAGTCATATTAACAACTTACTTCTAACCACTGTTGGGCTCTGGCTGGCTCCCAGGCGGATACTCCTCCATTTTTGCTCTGTAGTAAGTCAAACATTGGAGCTTTTAATGATATATTAGACACAAGATTAATTTTTTTTTTTTTTTTTTAAATTAGAAGACTTTTTTTAACAAAATTATTGCTAGCTATATGTGTACCTGCAACGTTAACAGGAGATTTACAGAATCATATAACCTCTCAGGTTCCATTTTCTCACCAACGATTTCTGGTGGCATCATGGAGAAAAGCAGGCAACACTAAAAAATAAAAGAAATGGACAATATCTATAGTGAGATATAGGGCGATAAAGAAATAACTTTAATTTGTTTGATAAAGAAATTTATGAATTAGTTTATAAATACCTTCAAACCTTCAGCAGTACAATCAGAAACTTGCCATCCATGATCCTGATCAGAGAAAGTCCACGATCCCCTCGAAATATGTCGATACATTCCCTTGAAGTCACCAGAAGGATTTTCCTTCCCCTTAATTTCCCCCCCCCCCCAAAAAAAAAACTCTTACATTATCAAATCCAAGGAAAATTCAATGGAACTAATTTTAGGTTCATCTATTAAATGTTAAATTACCTGAGAAGCCTTGATAAATTCGTGTCCTCTTTTAAGTACAGGTCCTATTTCATCAGCGAGATCACTAGCAAGCAAAGCTTGAATAGCGAAACCGGTATCCCACTCCTGGCTTCCAAAAGTCTGCATTTGTAACAATGTCATGAATTTATCAATATAAAATCAAAGCTAGAAAGTATTGAATGTGATGATATATACTAATTGTTAAATAAGTACCTGCATCTTCATTCCATCTTCAGCAACCCATAAGTAATCTGGAATTCTAGCTAGATGTTTCTTGAAATATTCCCCATTTGGATCTTCCACCCAACAAGCTAGCATGCATAAAACCTGTGTTTGTATAATTCAATGAAGAGAATTAGAAATGTGGATGTACAGAATAAAAATTTGATGCATATCTAATGAATTGCAATTTGACCTTTTCTACACATCCCATGGTGATGTATCGACTATTCTCATCTTCATAATGAATGTGCTCCATTGCTACTTGAAGTGCCTTCTCTCTTATCAATTTATTAAAAGGCCAATGTGTGAGTAACGGCTCAGTTAATATATATAGACTGTCCCAAATCAAGTCTTGAATCCAAGGATGGGGATGGTAAAGATCCTCCTGCCATTAACAATTTTGTATGGTATATATATTAATTATTATAATTTATTAATAGATCAGAACATATATATTGATTTATTGTTAAGCACTGTAAAATTATAAACTCACCTTGGCACATGCATGGCGTACTCGACTCCAATTAATTTGATTGTAAGGTTGACTGTAGAGCTCTTCTCTTAATTGTAGAGTGAGAGGTGTAATAGGGGCGACAAATTTCTTGCCATATAAATACGACATTGGCATGTACACCGTACGGAAATAACACCACACTTTGGCTGCATTTGTGAAGAATTAATTATAAAGCTATGTATTCAATAAATAAACAATTAATTAATATTGCGAACCGAAGTGCTTCTATAGGACTGCCCTGCCATGGTTCAACTATCAAGGAAGAGGACTAATTAAGCAAACTTACCTGGATGCACTGGGAGAAAGGAAGGCAGGATCCAAAATTCTGGAGGCATTGGGTTGGTTCCAGACNGGAAGTGTGAAACATGTATATAAGTTTATTCCATTTCATGGTTGTTGTTTCTCAGCATGTAACACAGCTATAGAGCGTGGCCCAAATTGATATATATAAATATATACCAATAATTTGAAGGTGCGTGGAAATCCCATTTTATGGAGTGAATTAATTACTGTTCTTGTGCATTTACTGTTGAGGGTGAAGTGACACAGCATTGATAATTTGATTAATGGACTCATATGAAGACAGAAAAGGGTATAAATCCTTGATGACACTGTTAAATGCCGGCTAGTCGGGCTAAAAATCAAGCACATATAGTTCATTCATTAACCAAAAAAGCCAAAAAAGAAAGAAAAAAAAAAAAAAGGTTTTTAAATAATTTTTTTCATATAAATTGTATAAATTCGCATGTCTATATATTATATATACAACTCCCGCTCAGTTGAAGTGTTCCAACAAAATCAGGTGGACACATTTGTATTTATAATGATATAATGCTTATTATTATTATTATTATTATATTAATTAATAAATCAATAGAAATAGTCATCTAATTAATTATAATTAAAGATATATCTGAATATTACTATGTATGTTCTCCGCCCCATTTATATCATTTAGTGTGAGGAACAGGAACAGGAACAGGAACATGAACATTTACACATAAGGCACAGTTATTACAACACAAACCATATAATTAAGAAAAGATATAGTGATACTACTAGTATTTATTTATTGATTAATTATAACTTTGTGGAGTCTGATTACTCAACAACTGTCCTGGAAGGCAATGGAACCTGCCTACGGTATTCAGCAAGAGCCCACAGTGGGTGTATGTTCCTATAGGCTCCGTAATGTAGCATGCAATTCGTATTAAATACCCCAGTAATTTCCTGCATTATAAATTAGTCAATTAATCAAAACATTTGGAAATGAAAGTTTATCTGAACGTTATATATATCATCCTTAATTTGGTTTAATGAGTATTGTACCTGTTGGGGAAAGTCACCATCTTCTAGTTGAGAATTGATTAACACCTTAGCTGCACGATGGAGAGGAGTTGGGTCTCTTTCTGCCTGTATGATAATCCATGAAATATAATAAGTGGTATATAAAAATGTATGTATAAATATAATTAATTACACGTTTTATGAAAACTGACCTGTCCGGCATGAATTAGACCCATCATAGCCCATGCAGTGTGAACCAAATTTGATCTGTTTCCTTCAAGAGGTATGTATTTCTAGATCACCAAGAGCAACGGATACATACGATTAGTTGAATGGTAGTTGGAGTTGTAATACACATTAAGAAATCAAATACAAATTAATACGTAATTCATAAAGTATAAAAAAGTGTAACCTTTTCTGGACAAGAACGATAGCTCTCTCCCCAACCACCATCGTCTCTCTGTGATTTAAGAAGAAAATCAACACCTTTACGCACAGCTGGACAATTGTTGTAAGTCTTGCCTGCTTCTGCTAATCCTCCAAGTGCAAACCATGTACCATATGTGAAGCAAACTCCCCAACATCCATACCTATATATATGTATTCATAATATATCATGCATATATACTATGTACTTGCAATTAATGTATAATTAAAACAATTGTACCATGAACCATCAGGCAATTGTACTTTTTCCAAATAGCGAACTCATTTGCAATAAAATGTTCAATCTCTTTCTTCCTATGCCCTGGATATACTTCTTAAACAAAACTAATCCCTTGATAACCGATGACGTGCACTCAACATACTCATGCTCGATCATTGTGTCCTCAAAAAAATCCGTGGGATTCAGCAGCTAAACAAAGTTACATAAGAAACTCACTACTACCATTAGTATAATTAAAAACAAATTCAAAAGATCAAGCCGAATACTCTATATAATTAAAATAACAATATATAGTACACAAAACAGTCATATTAACAACTTCTCTCTAACCACTGTTGGGCTCTGGCTGGCTCCCAGGCGGATACTCCTCCATTTTTGCTCTGTAGTAAGTCAAACATTGGAGCTTTTAATGATATATTAGACCAAGATTATTTTTTTTTTTTTTTTTTTAAATTAGAAGACTTTTTTTAACAAATTATTGCTAGCTATATGTGTACCTGCAACGTTAACAGGAGATTTACAGAATCATATAACCTCTCAGGTTCCATTTTTCTCACCAACGATTTCTGGTGGCATCATGGAGAAAAGCAGGCAACACTAAAAAATAAAAGAATGGACAATATCTATAGTGAGATATAGGGCGATAAGAAATAACTTTAATTTGTTTGATAAAGAAATTTATGAATAGTTTATAAATACCTTCAAACCTTCGCAGTACAATCAGAAACTTGCCATCCATGATCCTGATCAGAGAAAGTCCACGATCCCTTCGAATATGTCGATACTTCCCTTGAAGTCCCCAGAAGGATTGTCTTTCACCTAATTTACCCAAAAAAAAAAAAAAAAAAAAAAAAAAAACTCTAAAATTATCAAATCCAAGGAAAATTCAATGGAACTAATTTTAGGTCTCTATTAAATGTTAAATTACCTGAGAAGCCTTGATAAATTCGTGTCCTCTTTTAAGTACAGGTCCTATTTTCATCAGCGAGATCACTAGCAAGCAAAGCTTGAATAGCGAAACCGGTATCCCACTCCTGGCTTCCAAAAGTCTGCATTTGTAACAATGCCATGAATTCATCAATATAAAATCAAAGCTAGAAAGTATTGAATGTGATGATATTACTAATTGTTAAATAAGTACCTGCATCTTCATTCCATCTTCAGCAACCCATAAGTAATCTGAATTCTAGCTAGATGTTTCTTGAATAATCCCCATTTGGATCTTCCACCAACAAGCTAGCATCATAAAACTGTGTTTGTATAATTCATGAAGAGAATTAGAAATGTGGATGTACAGAATAAAAATTTGATGCATATCTAATGAATTGCAATTTGACCTTTCTACACATCCCATGGTGATGTATCGACTATTCTCATCTTCATAATGAATGTGCTCCATTGCTACTTGAAGTGCCTTCTCTCTTATCAATTTATTAAAAGGCCAATGTGTGAGTAACGGCTCAGTTAATATATATAGACTGTCCCAAATCAAGTCTTGAATCCAAGGTGGGGATGGTAAAGATCCTCCTGCCATTAACAATTTTGTATGGTTTATATTAATTATTATAATTTATTTAAATAGATCAGAACATATATATTGATTTATTGTTAAGCACTGTAAAATTATAAACTCACCTTGGCACATGCATGGCGTACTCGACTCCAATTAATTTGATTGTAAGGTTGACGGTAGAGCTCTTCTCTTAATTGTAGAGTGAGAGGTGTAATAGGGGCAACAAATTTCTTGCCATATAAATACGACATTGGCATGTACACCGTACGGAAATAACACCACACTTTGGCTGCATTTGTGAAGAATTAATTATAAAGCTATGTATTCAATAAATAAACAATTAATTAATATTGCGAACCGAAGTGCTTCTATAGGACTGCCCTGCCATGGTTCAACTATCAAGGAAGAGGACTAATTAAGCAAACTTACCTGGATGCACTGGGAGAAAGGAAGGCAGGATCCAAAATTCTGGAGGCATTGGGTTGGTTCCAGACCAGTCATATACACCAAATATCTACAACAAACAAAGAAAAGAATAATGCACAAGATATCAAGAATAAATTTTTTTATCAATGAAATAAAAGTGTTATTATGTTTCATTTAGACAAATATTTAAATGTAAATATTAGGATCCCAGCCCGACGTAACCAATTGAACCGGTTCAACTTATTGTTCATTTATTAAAGTTGATTTTTATATTAATTCATCACTTCGTTATGTCACTTTAGTATGGTATATGTTATATTAACTTAAATTTATTTCTGAATTTTTGCCAAGATTGAACTAGTGAGAGAAATCGTTACATATGATAAGACATATATAAAAAAATGAAAGGACAAATTAATATATAAAGTGACAAGTACCGAAAGCCAAGTCTTTCCCCAAGAAGGAATGTGGGTTGCACCGCCACGGTCAAGAATCCATTTTCTCGCTCTTGCACAAGCATTATCTTCACCACCATCAGGTCCTTCTCCAAGTATACGCATGCATATGTAGCTAAGCACTGTACAAAACATGATGCTGTGTCCTTCAATATGGAATCCCCACCCTCCATCTTCATTCTGATGATAGTATGTGTACCGGAGGATCTCCTTCCGATATTCTGCTGGGAATACACTGTTCAAATGCCCTGTAATGTAAGTGCACATCACCAATGGTTGAAGGAAATATAAAGCACCAGCATTTTCAGCTGGCCAATGGCCGTCCGAGGCTTGCAAGGCTGAGAAGAAATGAACCGCTCTCCTCAACGACGTCGTAGCTGTTTCACATGTTATTTCTTCTCCATCTTCCACCTTTACTGCTGGTATTGTTTGTTTGAAGTTTCTCTCTCTAAGAAACTTAAATTTTCCACACAATTGTAAAAACAAACAACATTTAGAAACTGAGAGATATTTATATTACAAAAAGGAAGAGAAAGAAAAGATGATATATTTCTTAATTCTAATAGTTAATGTGAATATATCACTGGTTAGATAATTTATCTATTGTCGTTTATTAATTAAGTTCCCTTTTTCGTTCTTTTGCCATGATAAATCAATAACAATGGTCATTTATGTCAAGTCCAGATCATTCATTAAAACAAAAGAATACATAAAGCCAAATTAAGATAATTGCAGCTTCACCAGACAAGTTGCTGCAACGTACAACACATAAAGTAATAAAAGTCTACTAGAGGAAGATCTTATAAAAAAGAGGGTAGTGATATAATTAATAAAATCCATTTGGCGTGCTCCACACAATTTATATAAGTTTCCAGATTAACTAGGGAAATTTAATAAATGTTCAACTAATTAAACTATCATATAGAGTCGATTACTCTTGATAAATAGGTTTAGGTATAACCCATTTCCAAAAGTTAGTTCAAGGGGGAGGGAGCCCAACCATATCAAATT